GAAACTCACTAATGCCCAAAATGGCTGCTGAAAGCAGGTATTTCCATCTGTAGATTTTTTTCCACTTCAAGCCCATTTATAATAACAACAGCTGAAACTATGATTGATTATATGCACTCCAGGAAGCTGTGCTTCAAGAAGTTAGAAGTAGCCCTTCCTTATGCCAAAAATCTTGATGTTTATTGTAGTTAGGGGTTGTACACAGAACAATTAAAATCAGGACATGGAATTTATATTTTTTCATGATGGTCACCCAGAGTTAACTGAAGAAAGGGCAGGCAATCTGTCCACAACACCAAAGACATAGAATATTTAGCCAAGGGTCTTAATCCCACAGCAATGTCTTATCTGAGTCCAGGTAAAGACCCCAAGCTCATGACAATGCCTCCCACAAGTCCAACTGGAGGTGTAGAGCCCACAAGAAGGATTCATGCCAGTCTCTTTTATGGATCCATGCTGGGAAGGCCCAAAGGTCAGCAGTGGAAGCTAGAAAGTCTGTGCCAGCGGGGTGAAGGAGCTGTGCTGGTGGGATGAGGGTTCTACACTAGAGCCAAGAAGTCACACTCACAACAAAGACCAGGGCTGTTCTGAAAGGCACCATAGCCAACCTCAGCGACAGGGAGGTCCCGAGCTCCTCTGACAATAAGCATAGTCAAGTACATGCCAGGAAGCCAGTGTGACGAGTTCATTCTGGAGACCAAGTGGCACATGTCTTCCTTTCCAGAGCCAGGAAGCAATGCTCAGTGTGAGGACCAAAGCTTCTCCAGGAGAACCAAAGGCTCAAACAGCAACTCTTGGGAGAACCCACAATGCTTCAATGCAACAATGCATTAATGCCTCAACACCTTCCTTCTCCTTCTCCACCTATTTATGCGGGCAGCTTTCCTTAGATAGAGCATCTTTGTTCAGTGCCATGCTGATGTAATCCAGCTGGCGTTAAACTGACCACCAGTTTTTAATCCATAACAATGGTGCAGTATTTTCATGTGCTGGTGCAGTGTCAGAGTTAGCATCTGGAACAGTAAGCATGTTAAACGAAACTTTTGTTCAGTAAAAACTTTTGTGGATGGGAAACTAATGAAATAATAAATGAGAGATTCCAATGACTGTTTAAATTATCTCCACTTATTTGTTATCAAAGAATACTTTGCATATTATCTTTAGGAAATGAACTCTCCAAACCCAAAAGCCTTGCAGTAGTCAGGTTTACTGAAGAGCAACTGCGCACACCCGAAACGTTGTGTCACGTGACCCTACGCTCTCACACACCTCTCTTTTCTACTCATCTCCATCACTGACTGCAGGCACCACGCAAAGCTTGGCCTCACAGGAAGTATAAGGTGCTGTGATCAGCAGCAGCACAACTTTTCAGATGTTCAGATAAGAAACCCAGGAATCAAACATGACTTCACTCTCCCTTCACCGTTGGTCACCCACCAAGTCTATGAATTCATTCTAGTGCCATTCTTCTGGTTCAAGGCTGATCACCTGGCCTCAATGCATGATAACCTTCTGCCTCTTCTCATTTCATGGAACCCATCTCCGTTCCCTCAGGACCTTCTGATCGCTCAGCCCTGTTTTCCAGCTGCCCACAGCTCCCTGTCATCCTGATAGAGCAGTTCCAACTCCTTAGCGTCGTGTAGAAGACGCCATGGAGACAGACTCCCATTTGCCTCTCCTGCCCCGTTTCCTACCTGCCGCCATCCCACCCTGCCTTCTGGCCTTCTAGCTCCTCGTTCCTCCCATTTTCTTTCCCTCTGGGACTCTATGCACAGCCTTCCCTCCATGGAGAACATTTTCCTCCCCACTCCCAAATTCACTTTCCTCTTTCTTATTGATCATCTTGATCCCAGTTTCAATCGCAGTCTCTTTGCAAAGCTTCTGTGCCCAGCCTAGTGACACTGAGTCTGACACACAGCAGCACTGTCGCTACATTGGCTCACCTCTTACCACTCTGCCTGTCCATGGCTGTCCATGCTGTGCTCCCCCACTGGAGAGCCTTGTTCATTTTGACATCCAGCATCATGATGACACCAGTTCATACCTGCTCACGATAGGCCAGCATAAGGAGTAACTTATGTGGCCGTGGAAAAACACATCATGAGAATCAACTGATGCTACAAGGTGATTTGTTTTAATGTTTTGTAAAACGCATCGTTAAACATTTACCAACACACACCGACTGTATCCCTGGCTGCTTAGCATGACAGTTGGCATATAGTCCAGTTTGTATTGGTTAGTTGAATGAATGAATGAATGAATGAATGGATGGATGGATGGATGGCAGGTTTGCATTTGACCCTGGAGCACCTGCAGGTTTACTCTTACTTGTTCCTCACAGCTCTGAAACAGAACAGGACTCCAGTTCAAGCGACTTCTCTACCCCACTGGGAAAAGCCTTATGGAGTCTGCCCTTGGGGACCCTCTCAGCATTTCTGTAGCAGAAATGGGGAAACGTTTCAGTCAGATGTGTCTGTACTAGGTGCCCCATTTCCTTTAGGAAATCAGAAAAGAAGCGCAGCCAAGCAGCCAGCCTTTCCAAGTGCAAATCTGGACTGCTCCACATACCGGCTTCATGACCCTGGGGAAGCCTGTTAACATTTCATGCATTCATTGACAGTACTGGGAATTAAACCCAGGGCCTTCACAGTGAGCTAAGTCTCCAGCACTTTTTGATTTTTTATTATAACACTGGGTCTTGCTAAGTTTCCCAGGATGGTGTCAAACTTAGGATCCTCTTGCCTCACTCTTTCAGAATGCCTGGTGTCATTTAACAGTTTTACATTTATTCTTTATTTTATATAATGAATCCTAACAGTAGACCTAACTCCAGGAGTTCTCATAAAGCTTTCAGCCACCTCGAGCTCCTGCCTCAGTTATGCATTCAGTAAATGTGAGCTACACTTGTTCTGCCCGCCTCTTCCCAGCCAGATGTAAAGGCCCGTAACCACCTGGCAGCCTGAAGAGCTGCTGTCTAACTGCTTGGTATCAAAGCCTGGATTTACAGGAAACGCTGGGCTGACCCAGGCTCCATTCTAGAATCTTTCATACTTTCAACTCTGTCCTCTCTAGTTTTTCTCCTTCGAACACATGCCTCAATACATCCCGTATCCTGATGACTCCCCAATGTGTGTGTTCAACCCAGAACTGTTTATTCCCAACCCATCCATCTGGCTGTCTGCCTGGGTGTCTAACAAATGTCTCAAAGTAAACACATGCAAATAAGCTCCTTAGACTTTCTCCAAACCTGTTCCTTCTGTCTCCTTCTCTGTCCCAGTCAGCAGCAGCAGCAGCACCCTCTGCTTGCTCAGGTCAAAAACCTTGCTGTTGCCTTTTGTGTTGTTTTAATCAGTTTTGTATTATTGTAACAAAATACCTGAAGTACTCAACTGTGATATTACATGCCTGTAATCTCAGCCCTCTGAGGGGCGCATGAGGGAGGCCTCAAGTTGAAGCCTATCCTGGACAACTTAAATACTTAGAAAGACCTTGTGTCAAAAGCCTTTATAAGAATATTTTTAAGAGCTGGGTGGTGGTCCACACCTGTAATCCCTGCACTGGGGAGACTGAGGCAGGAGTATCCCCACAATTTTGAGACCAGCCTGAGCCACATAGTGACTCCAGGTCAGTCAGAACTACATAGTGAGACGCTGCCTCAAAAAAAAAAAAATACTTTTAAAGGACTGAGAATGTAGCTCAGTGTGATGACCCAAGAGCTAATGTGAAGTTGAGAGAGAGCCTGAAGGCTTTGCTTTGGCTCCTGTTTTCAGAGGTTTCAGTCGTGGTTGGTTGGCATCATTATGCTTTGGGGCCTGACTTGGGGCAGCACATGATGATGAGGGGCACATGATGGGCCAAAACTACTCACCTCGTGACCGGAAGTGAGAGGGATGAAGGGCGCAGCCCCAGTGACCCAAGGACCGCCCGCTGGGCCCGCCTCTTCAAGTTTCCACCGGCTCCAGCAGCACCAGGCTGGGGACTAAGCCTTTGACACAGGAGCCTTTGGAGACATTGCAGATACACTGCAGCTGATGCTGTGTTTTCCCTGGGTCTTGTGAGCCTGCAGAGCTCACCACACCTCACTGCACAGCGTGCGGGCCCAGCCACTTCCAGCGCTAGCCTCAGCTCCTGCAGCAGCCCCTCACTGCCCATCTGCTGCACCTACCTTTACTGCACTGTGTCCCCATGATGGGAGCAGCAGTGGTGCTCTAAAAATGTGAGTCCCACGGCTTCTGCCTAACTCATGTCACCAAGTATAAGACGTGTAAGGAAGGACTTATGCGACGCCCCACTGGACTTTGTTCCCTTACGTGTCCCCCACCCTCACCCCTGTCTCTCTCTAAAGACTTCAAGATTTCTCCAGAAGCTAAACCACATCAAAAAGGCTAAGCATTGATAATCATAACCACTGATTTATCGAACCGTCATTGCGTACCCGGGCTGGTATAACACAGAGAGTCACAGGGAGCTTAGGAAATGTGCTCAAGATGACACAGCTAGGTAAAGGCAGTGACACTCACATGGTGCCTTTGTCTGGATCTGCTTTGTACTGAGGCTCACAGCCCATGTCCAGGGACCACAGAGGACCCAGCCCTGGGAACCTCATCAGTCTGAGTAATGTACAGATCCTGCTGAGATTGAAAAATTTTGCTTTGTTTTTAATATTTCACTGCATCTGAGTACGTAGTGGGGTTTTCCCCCTATAAGACAACGTAGTATTTTTAACTTACAAGATTCTAAAATTTTGTTAGTAGTGAACATTTTCATTCTTTATCATACAATGGAAGATTTAGATACAAGTGTCTCCTCCATCCAAGCCCACCCCCATATTGTACAGAGTTAATGCTTTTTGTGTGTGTGTTTCTGACTCATGTTTTCTTGCAGTGTTTTATGCTTCTTGCAAGCCTCTTTGATCCCCTTTGGGAATGAGGCAGGGTGTGACGAGGAGGGTGTCCTGCTTTTATGCCTCATGTGGCTAATCCTTCCAATTATCATCTTAGGAAGTGGAAGCACAGTTGGAGGAAGTGAAGAAGAAATCAGAAAAGGAAATAAGGCAGCTGGAAGAAGAGAAATCAGCTCTAAATGTGCAGCTTCAAAGTTCTCTGCTAGAGGTAACCCCCTCCCCACCCAAAAAACCCTGGCATTTAGAGATGTAGTACTGGCTCCTGGGAGTTTCTGGCTGAGATGCGAGGAGCCTCCCTTCCTTACAGCCCAGGAACAAAGAAGAGGGTGCTCAACCAGGCAGGAGGCTGCCTGGGACATAAATTTAGCCACTAGTAACAGAGAACCTGATTTATAGGCTGAAACAAAGCGGCCTTTAATGTCTCACATAAAAGAAGGAGGCAGCTAGTGTTGATTCTGTGGCTGAAAGATACGCAGATGGTCAGTCTGCAGGCTTTCCTGCCTGAGGGCTCCTTTATCACTTTTGTGGGCCTAAGGCACCTCAGTCTTCCTGAGCCTTTATTTCCCTTAAATATGTGTGTGGGTGGGTGTTGGGGTGTGTGGGTGTTTTATGATACTGTTGATAGAAAAATGAATGTAATTCAGGGTGTGTGTGTGTGTGTGTGTGTGTGTGTGTGTGTATGTGTTTTCTTCTGATTTTATAAGAAGCTAAGACATTTTCATAGGCGCTTATAAATACTAAAAGTTAGCAACAGTGGTGCATCCCTGTAATCACAGCTATGTGGGTTTTTAAGTTTGAGGCCAACATGGGAAACCGAGCAAGCCCCTGAATCCAAATAAAAGTAAAAGGGCTGGGGATGTGGCTCAGTGGCAGAGTGCCCCTGGTTCAATCCCAGTACTACCATAAATAAATAAGGGTGAAAGTATTGAAGAATTAGTGTAAGAGGTTAGAGACAAGGTCTTAAGAGCCATTTTTGATCCTGATAAAACCAGAGACTATGAGGGGCTTGTCTTCCTTTCCTCCCCCCTTTTCACACCTTTCAGAGGGGACCTCAGTCTCCCACTGGACCTAGGGCCTGTGAGTCCTGGCTGTGGTGCACCACCGCTTCTGAGGAACTTCTTTTTCAGAGCCAGACATTGAGTTCAAGGCTTTGCACAAGGTCAGCAAGTGCTGTGCCACTGAGCTACACCCCGGCCCTGGGGAACTTTTTAGAACACAGAAACCATGTGCAAAACCGTTCAGAGGTTCAGAAATACATGTCCATGGAGGTGCATGATGGGGCTGGGACAGAGCTTGGAGCAGCGGTTAGGTTATTTCTAGGAGGGGGAGAAGACGGAGGATGAGGAAGAAGTTAGGGGACTGCAGTTCTATTCGCAGTGCTATTTCTTCAGCTGAAGATTGAGTGTACAGACACGGATTATATTTGCCTCCAACTTTTTTTCTGTTTCTAAAGTGATCATTAAAGACAAAAGCAATGAGCACCCCATGTCTGAGACAGTCCACCAGGGACTAGAGGAGGGTGCTGGTGAGAAGTCCTGTACTGAAGGCTTCTTCCCAGGCACAGGACACGAGCCCATTTTCTCCTTCCCCCCTCTCTCCCATTTCCCACTGTCTCCTCCTTCACCTTCTCCCTTCCAATTGAGCCACGCTGCCAATCTTCATAGTGTACTGGAAATTCACCACACTTGCAGGAGCTGGCAAAGACTGCCCAGGGCGAGCCGTACAATGACTCTGGGCCCCCAAAATCAGACTCTTAGGTTGCCAGAAGTGCAGATTACTAGGTAGCGGGATGTCACATGACATTAAGTTGCTAAATGTGTAAATAAATGCCCCGACAGGGCGGGCGGGGGGGGGGGGAGGGCAGTTCCTTTCCTCCCATCAGGAGAGAGAGGTCCCCACCTGACCCCAGCTTTGTCTCTCCTTATTTTTCTCATCCTCTTACAGTCCTTCACCCCAAGAACCTCAAGAGCTGCAGGGGTTTTAGCCTTGTTCCTGAACTGTTCTGCATAATTTAAGGTGGTCTCATGTATGTGTTTGAGGCCAACCTAATTATTTTTCTGATGTGGGATGCCTGGATCATTGACTATTTCTGTGACTACCTCTTAGAACCCCTCTTTAAAAATAAAATAATTTCCCTTTGTGGAATACTTTCTATAGTCAAGATACTGCCTAAGAACTAAGAATATATTATATATATTCTTTTAATCCTCACAGTATTCTTTTAATCCTCACAATCCTCACCTTACAATATGACGCTTATTATTGTCTCTTAATTTAGAAATGAAAAAAGCAAGACAGAGAAAAAGCTAAATCACTTCCCCAAAGTCACACCCAAAATGGAAAATCTGGATTTCAAACCCAGGTAACACGGCTGTAAAGACCCGCCTTAGCTGTACTACCTCTGTTTGCCTTGTTGGGAGCTAAGTATCACTCAGGGCCGGAGGACAACAGATTGCAACCAGTGACCAAGAGTCTGGTGCAGACAAATTGCCGCTCTTGCTCTTCAGCCTCACTTCCTTTTACCGCATTCGTTTATCACTGTGTGCTGTCGTGAGAGACTTGCCCTCAGTCTCGCACAGAGCTGGAGATGAAAGTCACCCTTTGACTGCATCCTACTCTCCCACCGCTGTGCTTCTGACCTCCCCTCCTAACCTAATCCACCGTCATGTCCACTCACTTGTCAGTTCTGCGGGTCGTCTGACCCAAGCCTGTCTCAGTTTTTCTTCCCAAGGCAGCTAATTCCAGAAATGATGTTCTAAAACCTAAATCTGCTCAAAACATCATTCCTCCTACCCTAAACTCTTTAACCCCTGGTATTTCACAATGTAGACTTGACTTAACCCACCACCATCACTCTCCAAGGCTCTGCCCTCTCCGTCCACTCCTTCCTGCTGACCCCCACACCATGTGTAACCTCTGCTCAGCCTTCAGACCCATCTTACCTCTCCCCTGCCGGAATCCACTCCTGCACCTCCACTAGTGGCAGACTCCTATTTATCCTTCATTGCCCTGAAAGCTGCCTGGATTCTGGGGCCAAAGTTTATTGCTACACATTCTATGCAGTCGCCCTCACTTCACAGTGGTTGTTTTGAGGATTAATACTGTAACATGCTTCCATCCATGGCTGGAAAAGAGTAAATAGGCCATTAACAGCGCTGTATTTCTCTGAACCTCTGTACCTCTACGGAGTGTTGCTATGGTTATAAACTCTCTATCTCTCCTGCACAATGATAGGTCCTTCAAGACAAGGGACCATTTTTCTGTCTTGCTGTCACTCTGCACCTCCCTCTTTCCCTCCCTGTACCCAGCTGGTGCCTGACAATGTTAGATTTTTTACACATATTTGCTAGCAAGGCCTGCATTTCCTTCATGGTTATTGGCCTCATTCTTTCCAAGTCTGGAGGGGGAACAGTCTGTTTGTTGATAAGCTACAATTAGTTGACTGGTAACAACCATCATAATTAAAGCTTCATACTTCAATAGTACCTCGCAACTACACTTCTCTCAATTTATCTATACGATTCTTAAATATTTTCATTTTCTTTAACAAATACTTTTTTCAAAAGAAATTGAGGAGTGTAATATTCCACTGCCTTAGGCATCTAATAAATATTATGTGTTCTTTTCTCTGTTAAAACAGAAATTGATTGGCCTGCCAGGAATAGCATAAAAGCTGGTGAAAGTCACCTTGCAGATCTATTATAGATAGATGCATGTAAATATTTTAAAAGAAAGGGTAGAATAATACAAACCTGCTAAGCTCATCTTTTTCTGGAAAGACTCAGCAATTAGCTAATTAGTGGTGGCTTTTCTAGAAGCACACTTTGAATTTGTTTAATGGGACACTAGAACGGAGCAACCCAGGAGAATTGATTTCCAGATTGATGACCATGTCTGGGAGGCAGGACTTTGTTTTATTGCGTAGAGTTTCTTGTCTTCTATTTTAGGTTTTAAGACTGGAAGAATTTATCCAGCAACATATGGTGCTTTCCCAAAGAGCTGAGAGAAGAACCCAGGAGTTAGACTGCCAGCCCTGCAGCGCTCTGGAGAGCCAGGTAACGCCCCAACCTTTTTCTGCCTTAATTAGAGATATTTCTCATCTCTGTTTCAGCACTTCTGTGTCCCCGATGACACACGCTGATGTTAATGGGCTCCTTTACATCCTCCCCCCCCGCCCTGCCAATGCCTGGGGGAAAGAATCGGTACAAAATCCATTTGCAAAAACCATGAAGAAAAAAGAGTTCTGAGTAATTATCCTCGTGACTTGGAAAAGAAAAGGACATGTCACATTAATCTTCTCTCCTTCTCTGAGAGCAGACTGCCTGGCAGATAAAGGGGGCCTTTGATTCTGACCAGCTTTACCCACTGCAATAAAAAACAGCCCCCGGCAGCTCCCTCCATGCCCTGATCCTGGCACAGCGTCCACTCAGGCTGTCCTGTCAGGGGTGTGGCTCGGGGTGGACAGTGGCTCCTGTGTGTCCTGCTCCAGATGAACTGTATCACTTTCCTAGCAACCCTGTGATCAGTCACCACATGGTTGTTGACTTTAGCAGCAGAATTCTCCTCTCCCAGTTCTGGAGAGTGAGGTATGGCAGGGTTGCTTCCCTCCAGAGGCTCTGAGGGAAAACCTCTTCCTTCCCTGCCTCTCCTGGCTTCCTGCAGGGACACGTGGTGCTCTTTGAGTTTCCGAGGCATCACGCCATCACTGCCTCATGTCACATGCCTTGTCCTCCATGTGTCTGGGTCTTCACGTTGCCTTCTTTTTAAGCACATTGGTCACTGGATTTAGGACTCATCCTGATCCAACATGGCTTCATCTTAACTAATGACATTCCACAGACCCTGCTTCCAAATAAGTTCGCGATTGTAGGTGCTGGGGCTCCAGCATCCCTTCCTGGGGGACAGCTAGGCTCCCAGCTCAGATGCAACCTAGGGACTCTGACAACATCCACAGTGTGCTGCCAGAAATACGAGTAAGTCCTGAGAAGCTGAAATCTGAATAACCCTGTTGATTCCTATCTTCATGGCAAAAGTTATTTTTTAAAAAATTGTCTTCAATTTTTTTGAATGCTGCCCCAAATTTTCAGTCTGCTTCAGACTCCAGGTGTGAAAACACAATGAAGCTGAGTCTGAATCTTATGTGTCAACCTCAAAATCTCTTTTTCACCCATTCCTGTGCACCTTGGTGTCATTCCTCTGCTTGATGACACTCTTCTAGGCTCACGCACTGACCCTGACAATGACCCTCATGCCATTTCCCCCCAAGGTGACTCCTACTGAGCCACATATTCACCAGAGTAAGAAGGAGCCAAAAATCTAACAAACATGGATTTGAATAGCAGTTACCAGTTGTATGGGAACTGGTCAGTTACAGAGCACAGTTCCCGTCTTCGGCTTCGTTGGAGTTTTGCAACAAGTCTGTAGTGTACTCATTTTATGAAGGATGAAACAAAGGAGTAATGTTAACTAGGTGACTGTCACAAGCAGGTGAGCGGCTGAGCCAGGCCAGAAAGGCTGGCTCCAATCCCCATCTCTCCATAAGAGTGTCACTTACAGAGGAGCCTTCCCGATGGGAAAGACCAGCTGCGGATCTCAAGGTTAAGGAGAGCAGCCCAGGACTCCCTGGCTTTTCCCTGTCACCCCCGCAAGCAGTCCCATTGCCCTGTGGAAGCCTGCAGGGGAAGCTGGAAGAGGACAGGCCCTTCTTCCGCAGGCTGGTCCTCCCAATCAGTGCCGTCCCCAGCCTCTCTGAAGACTTCTGCCTGAGACACTTCTGCCTGTGGCTGTCTTCCTTCACCCTTAGTTTCTTAGGAAGCAGCCTCACAAGCTAGCGTAAGGTGACTTTACAGTATCTATTACAGTTCCCTGTAATCACTTCAGCAAAACTCCGTTACATTAGGTGTTCTATTTTAAGACCTACAAAACGCCCCCTTTAAAAGACTGTCAAATGAACTTGAAGATGACTTTGAATATTCCCTTTCAGTTGATTTCCTGGTGTTTCTTTAAAATAGAAACAAGCAGTCCAGATGAGGTTAAGTGGAAGATGAAATCCTGATGTGAACACAGATTTAAAACACCCAGCCATTGTCTTGGGAGGAGCTGGAAGAGACTTTTGCAGTTTTTCGGAGAAGCAGGACTATTTATTTTTCTGTGCACACTGTCATGCTCAGGTCACTTTCCCAATAGATAACTGGATCAGAATGCTGCCTGATGGAGCTGGCCCTGCTAGACAGTTAGTCCCAAACAGATAACCAAAAAGAAAATGTAAAATAAAAATACAAATGCACAGCTGAAGCAGAACCACTGAGCTTCAGAGCACTCATGCAGCCACTGTTTATTGATCTCCATGGCCAAGTTCATTTGTGAAATAATTGCATGGTGCCCACACCCCTGTTGAATGACATATTTTAACCTGAAACATCAGGCACATAAAGGGAAAAAAAGAGGAGGGTCAGGTCATCTATCTCATCTCCCATCCCCCGCACCATGAGCCATAAGTTGGTTGAGATCAAGAACTATATTTTATAATCTTCATCCTTCCAGCACCTGGTGCAATTTACATGCAACAGGTGTTTAGCATCTCCTTTTGCATAAACTAGCACATGACCTGACAACTAAATGAATGGAACAAAGGGTACCATATTGAATTTGGATAATTGAAAGGTTAGATAAGAAACTCCTTCAAAAGTGAGTCTTTAGAGAAATGATGATTTAGATCACCAGGGTCTTTTCTTCTCACTTGGTGGAAGCAACGGATAGTGCTCTCCTGCTACAACAAAATACCTGAGGCAAGCTGACTGTGTAAACAGAAGAGCTTTACTTAGTTCTCAGTTTTGGACACTGAAAGTCCAAACAGGGTGGCTCAAATTCTGGTGAGGACTGTATGACAGATTTCTGTCCTGATGTGCAGGAGCTAGAAGTCACATTATGAAACAGGAATCCAGAAAAAGACTTGGAGATCTGACTCAGACTCAGATCTGGCTCAGAACTCACTTTAGAAGATCAGTGTTCCCTTCTGAGGGCCACACCCTCACTGCCCTGCGGGCCGCTGCTAGTCCCCAGCTCCTGAAGGTTCCGGCAGCTGCCATGCTGACTAAACAAGGGACCAAGTGCTTAACACAGAGACCCTGGGGGCAAAGCACATACAAACCACACCAGTGTCCCCGTCCCTGAGCAGAAAGAGAAAGGATTGTGACGTCCATGCCCTGTTCAAGTGGACAAAACTCAACCACCTTCACTTCTCAGGTTGATTTTCTTTGTTTGGTTAGGTTCTCAGTTTTACTGGGGTAGGTTGAGACCTATACCCTCAGCGTACACAATGCATTATCATTGACTGGAGTTACAATGCTGTAAGCAGATCTCTGGGTATTCATCTTGTCTGACTGAGACTTCATGCCCTTGGACAGGAATGGCCCTCTTCCATCTCACCCCAGCCCCTGGAAATCATTGTTCCTTTCTTTGATTCTACAAATTTGATCACATTAGATACCTAATGTAAGTGGAACAATACACTATTTGTCTTTCTCTGACTAGCTTTCATCACTTAGCATAATGTCCTCAAGGTTCATCCCTGTATTCCCCGTATTGCAGAATTTCCTCCTTTTAAAAAGATGCATAGTAGTCCGCTGTGTGTATAGCCACATATTCTTAACCCATTCAACGGCTGATGGACGTTTAAACTGTTTCCAGTTGTTTTGGATAAATTATGGCTGGGTGTCATGGTAGTTTTTAATGTTTTAAGGAACCTCTGTACTGTTTTCTATATTGATTGTGTTATTTCAAATTGTCGTTCATAGTGTGCAAGTGTTCCATTTTTTCTGCGTCCTCTAACTTACTTTTTTTGTAATCAGTAGTCACCTTGACAGATGAGCTGATAGCACCGCAGTTTTAATTACATGTCCCTAGTAATTAGTGATGCTAAGCACCTTTTTATGCACCGGTCACTCACTTGTGTTTTTCAAACCATATGTGTTACAGGGGATTAATATGCAAATATGAAACTCCTACAATAGTAAAACTCCCACCAACAGTTAAAAAAACTTTAATAAACCAACTAAAGATAGACTTAGGACTTGAATAGATATTTTCTCAAAGAAAGCACAAGTTGACAATTTGATTATAATGTGTCTCTTGCAATTTCTTTGGCTTCACCTTATTCAGTGTCCTTTGGTCTTAGATCTGTGTGTCCATTTTATTCCTCATCTTTTCAGCCCTATTTCTTGGAATATCCTTTCATCCCCTGTATCTCTCTTCCTTCTGAAACACCTATATGCCTAGCTAGGTCTTCTTCTCCATGTCTTACAATCCTCTAAGCTTTCTTCACTGATTTTGTTTCTTACTTTTGCCTCTCTAACTGAATTATGTCCTGTGACCCATCTTTGAATTCACTGATCTTTTCTTCTGACTGGCTGTCTTCAGTTGAACCCTGTAATAATTTTTTTATTTAAATTATCGTGTTCTTCATGATATGTTTGGCACTCTTTTTATATATGTGTTTTCTACCTCTTTGTTGAATTTCTCCCTGTGTTAGTACACTGTTCTCTTGATCTCAGTAAATGTCAGTGATTTTTAGTTGTTGGTCAGGTAAGGCATGTAACTCTGTTTCATGCAGTTCACTGTTATGGTTTGTGCCTAAATCTCTCCCCTTCCCCAAGAAGCCTCATGCAGTCACAGGCTTTTTTGGAGGTGGGTGAGTCTAGACTTTGTGATTGGTTCAAGGGACACTTCTGGGATTAAGGGTGTGAGTGCTACCCCACGCCAGGGCAGGTGGCCTGCACACCATACAGGGACAAGAAGGGTCTCTCCCTCCTCTCTTTTGCTGACTTCCCACTGCCATGAACTGTTGCCCTTCTACCACGTGCCACTCTTCCTTAGAGCCAGCTGGTTTTGGACTGAAACCCCTACAAACTGTGGGCTAAATAAACTTCTCCTCCTTTAACCGTGAGTGTCAGGTATTTTGTCTCAGCAAGGCGAACAGTAACTAAGACAGTCACTTTCTAAAGGTCTATCTTTCCCTAATATTTATCTAGATTGAGGAGACCTCTCCTAGTCCCCA